CCACCTGAGTATCTATCCCATGTGCAATCACCAAAGGTAGATGCTGATGTGGAAGACAGGAAGTGCATGCTGATAAGAGCCTGATATGGATATCTCCTCAGAGGCCTTCAAGAGTCAGACATATTCAGAGGCAGATGCTCACAACTAGCCATTGAACTGATCATGGGGTTCTCAATGGAGGAGTTAGAGTGAAGACTGAAGGAGCTGAAAGGGTTTGTGGCACCATGAGGAGAGCAACAATACCAACCAACCACAGCTCCCAGGGTCTAAACCACCAGCCTGGGAGCACTTAGGGGGGGATCCAGGGCTTCAGCTGAATATGTAAAAGTGGAGGGCCCTGCTGGGCATAGGTGGAAGAAGAGAACCTTGACCTCATGAAGGCTGGATGCCCCAGGGGGTGGGAATTTTGAGGGTGGGGAGGTGGGAGTGGGGGGGGTGTAGATAGAGGTTACATCCACAGAGAAGAAGGAGGAGGGGCGAGGGGATTGGAGGTTCCGAGGGGGTGGTGGGGGATGGGGTAAGGGGACAACATAGGAAATGTAAATAAATCATCCAATAAAAAAAAAAAAAAAAAAAAAAAAAAAAAAAAAAAAAAAAAAAGAACTTGCAATGCATTTAACTGAAAAATCACCAGGCAGAATGGATCAAGAATCTACAAATAAGTAACAGAGAAACAAAAACTCCTCAGAAGAGGATCTCAAATAGCCCGCAATCATGTGTACATGCTCACTTCCTGTTCATAGGAGAAATATATATCAAAACCATCATATGAATTTCTATATTCCCACAACACAGATAAAATTTAAAAGGAAAACAACATGAAATATGAGGCACAGTCCTCAGACAACTAGGAATAAACACTGGGAAAATCAGTTTGTAAAATCAGTTAGCCTTTCCTCTTCAAGTTTTTTCATATATATGTCATTTGAGCAACTCCATTCTAGGCTGACAGCCAACAGAAAAGAACTTAAATCCTCTAAGGTACAGGGTGAGCATATAACAAGCTGGCCTAAGAAATGCCAGAGGCTAGAGAGAACCATCTACATTGCAGTAGAATGGAGTAGTATTAGTACACTCAAACAAGAAACACTACCAGCAAATGAAAAAGGAGAACAGTAATGTAAGTACCATATCCATGTGACTAATAGAAGGTTGAACAACAGCACCAAGAGCTGGATACAGTGAATTTTACACTTATGTCACAGCTAACAAGGTATAGCCAACAAGGTACTGAAAGCCAAGGACGCAGTATAGAAGTGATAGCATCAGAAGGGTAGAGGCTACCCAGGGGAATGGGGTGAGGGAATGGTAATGGTTTCTTGCTCTACTTCAGAGTTTCATTGTGCATAGTTTGTGACAATTCACTCAAGATAGTTTGTTACTATAGACTTTTCTATATGTAAATTACAGGTCAGCAAAAAAGAAAGGACATTTGAAAATACCACAAGCTTTAGAATCATTAACATTTTCTAAAGGTTAAAAGTAGTTAGAGTTAAATGAAATGGAGTTAAATGGAGTTAAAAAAAAAAACAGGGGAAGGATGCAGGAATGAGGGACCAGGAAGGAAGTGTAATTTAAAATAGAGTGGTCAGAGGAGCCTTACCTGTGTGATAAAACTTCCCTGAAAATCCAAGGTTGAATGTAAAATTTGTGATTTGTGTGCGCAAAAGATTCTGAGTGTCAAGCAGGGCCTGAAATACAGAACGAACAAAAGGCATTTCAGGGTGACAAGGTACTGAAAGACATTCAGAGAGTAAGACCATGCTATTCAAATCAAATGGCAGATCATGAATAATGTTAAGATTATACAGCACATACACGTACTCCAGCTTCAGCCCTTGAGAAATCTGAAAAAAAATGTTGGCTGGAGAAAGCAAAGTGAAAGGAAAAGTTTAATCCATATGTATAAAGGAAGTGGTGTATTATATCTCTTTTTACCTCTCAGAGACATAGATAACCAATTCCAAAAGGACATTCATTTTAAATGAAGCCTGGCAAGAACATATGTGGAAAAAAAAAAACCATACTGGCATTTCTCAGATATATCATTGTTCTTCAAAATGCAAACATTTTAACTTTTAAATCTGAGATACCCAAAAGATAATGATTGTTATTCAAGAAGATAAGAAGGTAAAGAAAATGTATAATTTGATCATTAAAACAAGCAAATATTTGGGACGGTTCATCTTGACTGACAACTGGTTTGGATGGAGAAACACCTATGGGATTAGTTAAGTGCACCTATGGGTGTATCCATGATAGAATCAGGAGGTGGGATTAGCTAAGAGGAATAATCTCTTGAATATGAAAAGCATCACTCAGTAGATCAGGACCAAGTTGGAAAAGAAGATGGAAAAAAAGGAGAAAGGCAACGAGCACAGGCCATCTCTCCTCTGTGCTCTTTTGCGCTACCTGGACATCATGATGTAAAGTCTCTGCTTTGATCCATTTCCCATGATGAACTAAAACTGTGAGCCAAAATCAGTAATGCTCCCTGCTTGTCTAAGTTATGTCAAGCTTTTGTCAGTGGCAAGAGTGCACATATTGCACTTCTTGTAAGGGGCATTTTTGAAGGATGGTTTTCCGGGTTAATGCTGCTGTCTGTCTATGACTATTTACTGCACTTTCATTGTTTCTTCCCCTTTACTTCCTGATTCCTCTTTAAATTTCAATGACCAATGACTCCAATTGCTCTGCCTCCCCCTTGCTGTGTGTGTGTGCATGTGAATGTGCATGTGCGTGTGCGTGTATGTGTTATTATAATTTAGTGTCTACCCCAACCAAACATAAATAGCACTGTTGGTTTTCAAAAAGATCCTGGTTAACACTTCATTTTACACAGGAAGAAACTGAGGTAAATGGCTTGCTTAATTTCATAGACAAAAGGATCCCAAATGAAAAGCAGACATAACTTGGGCTCTCACACTGACCTTCTATCAGATCCTTCCCTTTGTTATATCCAGGCCCACAACTAACCTTGTGTTCTTTAATACAGAACTGATGCTCGGTAGGATCTGAGCTGCCAGGTTCAGTCTCCCTCTTACCAGTCAGAAGACTGCCTGCCTTATCCAAATGCAAGTGAATCTGTGTAGATGTGGAGGACGAAATCCTTGTTTCCTCAACTTAAGCTCACCTAACTGATCATCACTTATTGAAGTGTAAGTATGCAATTGTTTTCCTAACATTTCTTTGTTTGCAAAAACCAACTCCTTGATATGCAGGACTGAATGATATACTATGTGGATCTACATGACACTGATGGATAGAAGGTCTGATGCTGGAAATCCACACTATGCTACAAAGTCTAATTGAGTATAAAGTCTAATTGATATCAGGTAAGGTCTTGCCTTTATAAGGGTGGGGCATAGGAGGAGCATGGGAAGAAAAACTGGACAAGGGAATGTGCTGTAGTGAAGAAAGGGACCCCTTACTTCTCCAAGTTAATCTGCAGGGAGGGTGCTGTGCAGGTAGAAGGTCTGAGCCTTTTTTCCTTTGGCTCCCGTGGTGAGGACTGTGGAGCATATAGTTTAGTCTTTAAGAGTACAGACCTGGAAGTCAGCTGGTCTTAACTGGAATTCTGAATCTCCTGTACGTTTCCACTTTTGGGTATGCTATTTCAAACCCAAGTCTCACTGTTATTGAAGTCAAGGTAGTGCTACTTCAGAGCTCTATCTGAAGATTAAATGAGACAATTAGTGTAAGCTCTTGCTGCAGTGTCTGGAACACAATATGTGTGCAGCACTGAGCATTGCTGCTCTGCTATCTCTGTGGCTAAAATCATCACTACAGCTGACATGGTTGCTACCACTGAATACTCAAGGGAGTCTGTGGCACTTGCCTAAGCTTGGTCCTTCATTTGTAAAGTTAAAAGAGTCTTCTAAGTCAGAGTATAATGAGAGCAAACCATACATGCTGGATTGGTTAGTTAAGTTTGTTAAGAAGCCATTAAAGTATCTACATCTATCATCCATCCATCCATCCATTCATCCATCCATCCACCCACCCATCCATCCACCCACCCACCCATCCATCCATCCATCCATCCATCCATCCATCCATCCATCCATCCATCCATCCATCCATCATATCTACCTGCCTATCTACCTACAGTCTATTATCCATTTTCTATCTACTATCATTTACCTATCTATCATTTATCTGGTCTTTATATATTAGCTATCATTTGTCTACAACCTGTCATCTATCTACCTATCATCTCTCCATCTATCCATACACCCATTCATTTGCTACTTGGTTTGTTGTCTTTATGTGAGTCACATGATTTCTTTGCCCCTCCCCCAACCTGTCCTATTCTTCTGGTCAGTCATTGGTTTGCCCCAGCTGAACATCCTGGCTAACTTTTCTTGTGTATCTTCCATTTTAAAGTCTTTTTTCTCATTTTTTTCTATTTTACTCCAATTCACCCTTTAATTATTCATTCACTGAATAAACATTCAAAACATATTCTAAAATTATTTCTTGCATATTTAATGACTTCTTAAATCTGAAATGCCTTTGTCCTTTCCTTTCGCTGTTTGCCCTTTTTGTTGGAACTATCCTTCAGTGAACATTGTTTTGTGACCACAGAGTGACTGTTTAATATATCGTTATGATCACTATCGCTATTAGGAGAGAACATGCAAACCTCTTATTCCTGAGCCTTAGAAACTAAATTAAGTTCTTGCAGAATAATATCTTTGACAACTAGAATATATGAATTCCAATAACTCTACTACCCCTGATTTTTCAAGTTTGAATATTTCACACATTTATAACACATTTTAAAAAACAAACATCCAAGAACTTAAAAGATATACTGAAACATATGGTGATAATAATTACGCTATGTATGGTGAGACAGTACTTCCTAATTGTCAAGCTGATTGGACTGAGAAATGCTAAAAAAGTTAAGGAAGTACACCTGGGGTGCCTGTGAGGGTATCCCAGAGATGGTTAGACCCCGAGGGTTCTGACTCACAGACTGGACCAACTTTAAGCCATCACATGATGACTTTATTGGGAGGTGATCAAGGGAAGAGGAAGTAGAATACTAGACTTTATCCTTGAGGGTTGTATGGTGCCTTGGTCCTTCTCTGTCTTCTCTTTCTCTGTGTGTGTGATGCTACAGTGCAGTACTCTGTCCCCCCACACCCTCCACTCTATGAAGCTGCCTCTGAAACCAGAAGGCAAAGTCCGTCATTCTTCCCAGGTATGAGGTCACAGGAATAAAAACTGAGTAGTCAACACATGGTAGAGAGAGAATTTGTGTCCATATGGTATTTATGTACTTAGAATAAACAGCAATACGTCTCATACTTTAATTGATTTTACAAACCAGATTTTCGGAATGTACATGAGAAAAATGTCTCATATTTATGCATTATTTCCATTGCTACAAAATACACTGAAATGTTTTGTGCAAGAAGTTTAAGTACCTGGGAATGTTTTCAGACAACATTCTTTTCATTAAACTTGTTATTATTGCAATGAAATAGTTACCTGATACAGTGTGCTCATGGCTATGAACAAATAGAAAATGATTCCTTGTTTTGATTCTGTTTGTGATGTGTCTAAATTGATGTGACAGTATCAAAAACTAATAATAATAAAAATCATTGCTACAACACCAAAATGGAGAAAAAAAATCCTTGAAAATAGACCCTTTACAGGGAGAAGAGTCAGGGAAGGAAAAGGCAAATGATCATACTTCTTCAATGGCTAGTGCAAGAGCCTTGGAAGCATGGGGCTTAGTTTCAAGTGTATTCATTATTGAAAAGTGGTACTTTTATTATTAGGAATTCCAGAATATAGCATGGTTTTAACAGAACAGTATATTTTTACAATTCCATATACCATTGGTTATTTTTAAAATAAGACATTTTGTAGTCACTTATAAAGATAGTATTGTTACCATTCTCCTATTTTCTCAATAACTAAGTCAATCCATTTAGATGCAGCTATAGGGAGATGTAGGGAAATTAGAATCATGGAGAACCCATCGTACAATGAAGGAGGATTTAGAATATGCTATAATTAGAATGAAAAGAACATATTTGCATCTTTTATTCAACAGTGTATTATGGATAAATCCTTTCACCCCCAAATCAAACCTTCTAATCAAACCAGAATACTGGTCACATCAAATGGCTGTGCTAGAATTGATTTGAACATTTCTGCTTATTATACATTTGCGTTCCTTTCACTTTAGCAAACATAAATCCTGTTCTTTGTATAAGTCTGTATTTACATGGTCAGAAATTTTCCCGAGAGGCAAGTAATTCTATCCACTTTCTACAAACAAATCAACAAACCAACAAACATGGCAGGAAATCTGAAAGTGTTTAGTAGAGAACTAAAAAGGAACACACTGTTCAATAAAATTATACGACATTTGCATTCAAACATAATTCACAAAAACTTAAAAACCACTTTTTCAGAGTTGAACGTATATGCCGTTCCTTCTTGGCTTTCCAAGTCCTCATTATGCAAAGTCAAGAACATTTGCAAGATCTGGTTAACAGCAAAAAAGGATTCAATTTAAAGAAATTGAGCTCCGAGGAGTGAGTAAAATGGAAGCTTTTATGTGCCTTTGGATTTCACTCAACTTTCCTTAACAGAATGAATATATCAAAGAGAGAAAATGAGAGGCAAAAATTAAAATTAAACATAATTGCAAAACTTTTTTTTTGGT